AAAAATAATAAAAATAAACACGCATGATGTTAGAAATTAGGGCCTGTATTTGATGACACATGCATATAGGTTTCGTTATCCCTTACGGAAGAATAGCATCAAAGCATCTAGCTTTTGCACATGCATATAAGTTTCGTTATCCCTTGCGAAAGAATGGCATCAAAGCATCTAGCTTTTGAACAGTAGCCAAAAGGTAGAAGAAAATAAAGAGAATTCCACTCGGACCCATATGAAAAGAAGAGACGGAATAGAATATCATGATAAAGAATGGTTATGGTAATGATGAACTCAGAACCATTGGACAATATCCTTTTTTATATGTCAAAACTCCTAACATCTCCCCCTCTGTGAGTACTGTGATTTTTATACACACCAGAGCAGGAAGACATGATTCATTTGGTGATCGTTTCTCTGAATGCGTGTAGCATAGGAGTATTTAATAGTAAAGGTTTTTGAAAGGTGAAGAAAAAGAAGATGGCAAAGGTTTCCAAGCATGGAACAGTGAGGCTAAGCAATCATTTTGTCCAGGGAGCATGGGCAGCTTTCCAAGCTAAAAATCACACGAAGAACAGCGATTGACATGTAAATGCCTAAACTATGATTTAAGGGGGTGGGTGTAGCATGCATGTTTAAGTTAATTTGCTACCAACTCGTACTTTGTTAATATGCGAGCATAACATGCTGCTTAAGGTATCATTTTTATGGTCCATCTCTCCTTAAAATGGTCATGTGTATCATGATGATGTTGCTCGGACAAAGTACATCTGAATGGGAAGCCTTTGCAGAATTGCTTGCCGTGGGGAAGACACTTGAGGATTTTCATGTTGGTGTGTTTTGATTCATTTATTACCTTGCGTGCATAAACTCGCCCCAACCCGAGAATTAACCTGATATAAAACTTGGTTACAGGTTTAGCGGGTAATTAATCTAAATTAATCATTTTAAAATGTTAAAATGATATTATTTGATCAAGTAAGATAATATTTTTTTGACATATGATCAAGGCTGGGATAGGTCGAGCGGTTTCTAATTGACATGTCTAGCCAAGCGGGCTAATAACAGTTTTTAACACCTGTGAGGTGAATACAGAATCTAGCTTGCATAATGTCTTCTTTATTACATGTTTAATGTTGCTAATACTGCTAAAGATCAAGTCACAATGTCTTCGAGTTCTTTGCAAGTTCAAATTATGAACAACTGAAATGCCATTGGAGTACAATCGCTTATAATGGTCCAGCCCTAAACATAATGATTCCACATAAAACTTGAACGAAGCAGTTCATGACCAGAACAGGGTCATAGACAAGACAAGAAGCCCTTTACAGCCTATGGGCCCTAATTAAGCCCACTAGGGATAACACTGTTGCATCTGGAGCCTGGCAAGAGTCCAGTCTGCTAAAAGCCCATCAATGTTAGAGCCATAATTCCCCACTTCGTGTTTAGGCTTCCATTTAAACCCTCTTTTATGCTTATGCTAATTAAAATTTTAGTGTACCTAATACACATAATTAGCTTCCCATTTACTCCTCTCATTTTTCACCTCCTTCAGTCTCAAATTCTTATTCTCAAGCAATTTAATCAACTTAGCAGTGTGTGTTCTAGTTTTATTTTTTTATTTTTCATTTGACGAGTACAAATAATGCAAAAGGGAAGTTGCCGAATTATATAACCTATAGTATGATTTAAAGTTGACAAGAGCTTATTGTATCAATCTACATATCGAGAACACACCTCGAAGTTTTCTTTCAGAATACAGAATCGATTCTTTGGGATATAGAATTTAACTCGGAATGATTCGGAAATCGATAATGATACATTGTGGCTCTTTTATTGTTGATGGTGTCGGCGTTTTTCTTTGTGCAGAAAAGGAAAAGAGGGTAGGCAGCTGCCTGGAACAACCGCTAGTGTGTGTTTCCAAGTCCAAGTGCGTCTATGGATTTTATATATATTTTAAAGTAAAAAGAGTTTGAAAAAAATAGTAATTGTTAAGAGTTTGAAAAAAAAAAGAAATTGTTTTTAAAGTGTTTTTTATTTGAAAATATATTAAAATAATATTTTTTATTTTAATTTTTAAAATTTATTTTAAACATTAATACATTCAAACGATTTAAAAACATTAAAATAATAATATAAATTAAAAAAATTAAATTTTAATACAATACATTCAAATGATTTAAAAACATTAAAAAATATAAATTAAAAAAATTAAATTTTAATAAAAAATAGATTCAATCTCAATTTCAAACAGTTGAAAGAGCACTTGAATTGTTAATCTACTCTTCACCTGATATCCTTGACTGAATCTTTGACCTAGACAACTCTCTTAGAACTAATTGAAAGAAAATGCACCCTTGTTATGCTGTCTTTACTGTGTATTGTGAATGGATTTATAGTTCTATTTTTCTTAATTATAAAACTTTCAAACAATGTAAACTTAATTCAGTATCTAAATTAAAAAACAAAAGGTATCGAAAAATATTTTCAAGAGGATTAATTTGCTAATTTAATAAGAATTTTATAATTATATACATATTTATTATCACTATATTATCTCTATTATCCCGGCTCAATTAGAAAAATCAGTAGCTATAGATTCGATATAATTATAAGCAAGGATATATACTGGTATTTGGTAATTTATAAACTTTGTAAAAGTAATTTTGTCATTTAAATTAAAAAGAGAAGTCATCCCTTCATAATTCTCAAAAAAATAATAGGAGACTTCAGCTTCTTTTATATAAAAATAACACCAAAACACAGATATCCTCATATTTTTTTAGAGAATAAGACTAGTTTTGTTTGAGATTTATGACTATTCTTCCCAGTATGTGTATTTTTTAAAAATCAAACTTATATTTTTATTTTTATAAAGATATAGCGGTGTTTTAATAGCTAGACTTTATTAGTAAAAATAACACTAAACTACAAATTTATTAAGTATTTTCAGATTCTATTTAGAACAAATCATTAAATCATTATAATAATAAAAAAAGAGAGGTTCAATCATAAGTGATGATGGGAGAAATTAATTTCTTGTTAATGCACCAAAAAAAATAAAAAAATTATTTAAACACAGAAATTTAATCCCAATATATGAAAACTAATCTGAAATATCATAATCACTATAACCAAAAACAAGGGAGAATTGAGAATTTTATTTTGGTTACCATATCTCATCTTAAACGTCTCCATGGATATGGACATCTGAGGTTGGAAGGCAAACTCGTCAATGGGAAACAAAAGATGGTAGCTCTTTTTTCTTTTCTTTTTTCTTTTTCTTCTTTTATTGATAGGATCATAGCCACTTCCATAGAATCATCGAAGATTTGAATCTTTGTGTTTGTCGGGCATAGTGCCGATCCACTAAACATATGCATTATAGCAAGTAGCAACTACCACCATCTCTGTTTTCCTTTTTTTTTTTTTTTTTTTTTAAAAATAATTAA